TCAGCCATTAAGGTTGAGGGGAAACAATTGTTCTTGTTTTCCAGTGGCGCCATCTATGGCCAAGAGTTTGACTTCTACCACACCCGTACGGCACATCCGTTTATAGGGCAGACTCGTTTCTACATCTATTCATTCCTCCACAGATCGTAATTTTGACCTGAACCAGAGAACTATCATTCTCCAATTCAGTACCCCCAGAGGCATTGATTTGCTATGAGAACATGGAGGACTTAGTGACCTGATAGATTTAACGCGCACTAGTCATTTACTGCACGAGGAGTCTTCGATCGGCTGGATTCGAACTCCTGTTTACACAAACATGAGTCCATCATCCTGCAAATCAGGCTATACCGGCCATCAAATGAGATGGTAAATTAAGTTTAGGTTTAAAAAAAACTGAAAATTTTGAATGTATAACTTTTTCTTTTACCTCACGTTTAAAAAATTGTTTTATCACTAACAAGCTAACTAATAAAAAACTATTTATTTTTATCTAAATTCTTCATCGAATTCGAAATTTGTTTTTTTTTTTTTGAAATAATGGTTTATAACTTTCTGTGAAAAGGTTATTTTGATTTAACGATTTTGATGATTATTTTGATTTTGATGAGGACTAATGTTATTTATCAGAGGTGGATGAAAATAATAGAAACACTTCTATACTAATTTTATGTAATAAATCTTTCTTTTGGCAATAAATGTTTTGGAAGATTTTATAATGGCAAAACTGTTGTCACAATTCGAAAGACCATACTTAAAATTTTTTGTAGATGAAGTTATATTATCCCATGCAAAATTCGGATGCCTTAAAATGAGGAGGGAAGTTAATTTCTTCCTAGTTTTAATACCAGCAATTTCGCATAGTATTGAAATATATATATATATATATATATANATTAATGACCGGACACTGTGAAGTTCGGCGGTGGAGGAATTATGGTGTGGTCCTGTTTCTCATGGTTTAGCCTTGGACCCTTGGTGTTAGTGCGTCGAACCCTGAACGCAGAAGGGTATAGAGACATTCTCGACAATTCGGCGCTTCCCACTCTGTGGCAACAGTTCGGTAATGGCCCGTTTGTGTTTCAACACGATAACGCTGCCATTCATAAAGCACATGCCATCACGGACTGGTTCGATGAAATGGGGGTGCAAGAGCTTGACTGGCCATCCCAAAGTCCCGACATCAATCCCATTGAGCATCTCTGGGATGAGTTGAGGGCCAGACCACAACGCTCCAAAACCACCACTCAACTCTTTGCCATGTTCCAGGAGGAATGGCGGGCAATACCTGCCGCCGTGTACCAACACCTAGTGGATAGCCTTCCTAGAAGGGTTAAAGCTGTGATTCGGGCGCGTGGCGGCCCTACGCCTTACTGACTTGATACTAGCACCTCATGTATCCGAAATGAGGGTTGTCCGGTCATTAATGGCCAGATAGTGTATATATGTTACGGTGAAACATCCAAATCTGGAAAATGTCGACATTCACGTAGTCGCTTTGGTGAATGTCCGAAATATTTGTTATATCCAATTTTATATTAATTTACTCGTTAATATTATTATATTTATTTGATATATTTATATTTATTCTATATTTTAATACTTACTGACGATAGATTAGAAGAAACATCAGTGTTTGGAGTATCGGGCAATCATATACCGGGCAATGGCACTTAACCTTAAAACACATCAGTGTGTAGGGTATACCGTGCAAATGTATACCGGGCAGTGGCACTTAACCTTAAATAAACATCAGTGTAGTGTATATCGGGCAGTGGCACTTAACCTTAGAAAAACATCAGTGTAGGGAATACCGGGCAGTGGCACTTAACCATAAAAAGCATCAGTGTAGCGCAGAGGTCACCAAAGTGGTCTATATAGACCCCCGGGGGTCTATTTAACGAAAGCGGGGGTCGATCTGAGCCAGGGGGTCGAATGGGGGTCGATCCGAATCGGATGGGTCGAAGAAAAAACAGTTTTTAATACGCAAATCACACATACTTAATTGAGTGTGTAAAATTTGTGAATTTTTTTATAATTGACTTAATGTCAGTTTCTTTATAGAACATAAATTAATAAACGTATATTTATTCGGGTGAAACCAGTATTTACGTACCAGCGAGCAATGGCACGAACTCTGCACTTCTGGTTTATAAGTCATATGCATATGTGCTCTTGTCCAAATGTCACGTGTGGCGAGCATTGACGTTACAAACGCAAATATCATACGCAGTTTCAGCTATCTTTGCAAACTGTGAACAGTGTTAAATGTTTGCAGTGTCATTATTAAAACTTTTAAAGTTTTGGATTATTAGTTATTATTTCGATAAAACCATTCGTTTAGTTTAGATATCAATTTTAATTATCAATACACGTAAAAAAGAAGGTAAGCATTAATAATGGATTAGCACAGTCCGCTAAGATTACGAAGCAATAAATCTGTAGTTACTTTACTTATTATTTCTACTTATTTATAATTACTTATTGTTTAATAAATATTATGGTATTTAAATTTCAGCATTAATGTATTTTTCATAAAACTATTGTTACACAATGTACTATTACTTTAATAAATGTGTAAAATCATAAAATAAATATACAAACACAGTATCTAATGGATTTTTATTTTAATTAACAGAAAATTACTTTTATGGGGGTCGATGGAGATTTCGAAAAATTATATAGGGGTCGATGATCAAAAAAGTTTGGCGACCCATGGTGTAGGGTATACCGGGCAAACGTATACCGGACAGTGGCACTTAACCTTAAAAAAACATCAGTGTAGTGCTAAAATATCGAATAAATGTAATTATATCTACGAATAAATTCATATCAAATTGAATGTAATAAATATTTCGGACATTCACATATCTGTGATTCAAGCATATCTGTGATTGTCGACATACACCGGTGAAAGTCAACAACCACCGATTTTCCTCCGTGACATACACGCATTGGAATGCATTTTTAATGTTAATGTCATTGAGAGAGGACAAAAAGCTTTACGCTCACTTAGGTCGATGCTAATTGTGCATGAGTAAAAAGAACCACATTTCTAAAAGCTTGACGCATTATCTTTCAAACGGTGCCGACTGTTTTACCACATAAATTTTCCAAAACATTTGCTTTTAAAGAAAAAATTGTTTACGTAGATCTAGTATAGAAGTGCTTCTATATTGTTGTTCAACCCCTGTATATTGAAAGTATATGTTTATCTTTGAAGTTAACGTACTGAACTTTTTTTAAAAGCCAAAGTTTTGGGTAAAAAAAAATAATATCAACTTTTTATGAACAAATGTATATCACAATTTTTTTTCCATATAAAAGTTTTTCATATATTGACCCCGTTTTGCAATCTCTCATTGCTAGGCATATCCATACCTGCCAACTTTTAATCCTTTCGAGGATGATTTTCCCCAGTGGTAGTAAAATGGAATTTAAATTACAATTTTAAGCAGAAAAATACACTGTATTTTGAAAAAGCTTATGAGGACTACCACGATAGTATTACATATTAGTATATATGCTTTATTATTTTAAAAATAGTGGTGTCCAAAAAGATTATAAATTAAGTTTATAAATGCAAGGAATATATACAAAGCATGCATTTTACTACCACATTAAAGATAGAAATAAAATTTTACTCCAAATGCGTAAAAGTTGGCAGGTATGCATATCTTTCAACATTTGAAGTTTGCAATTGAAGTACAACATTGAAATTTTTCAGGAGCAGTGAACAGCAATTTTTTTTAAACAAATAGAATTTTTGTAAAACTTTTGTTGGGGAAGCGGCAGTTTTTTCCTTCACAGAACTACCAACTACTACGCATTTTTAAATATATTTTAAACAGTGATGCATACTTATAAATTAAAGCTTTTACAATTTTGGTCAATTTTGCCAGAAATTTAAAAGCCTCATCACGAGGGAGGAGGAAGGTAGTGGTGTTTACATATGAACTTCTGAATCATATCCATGTAGTGGTGGCGAAAATAACTAATTTTTAAAACAAGGAATCAAACATTAAAACATTAACTTAGTTGCTACTCGAAGAAATTTTTCTAAAAGGCGTTGAAAGATAGCAGCCCTTATTCTATATATCTGTTAGAATTATTTATTAGCTTAATATTATCTCTGTATCACTCTATCTCATTATCTCTGTATTATCTCTATTTTATTCTGTATGTTTAAGTATTTAGGAAATTTATGCATCATACGGATGAATTTTAGATCTTTGTCAATATCTATTACTCGACGTAAACTAACTTACAAATGGATTAAATCAGTGTTCCCCAACCTTTTTATTACTGCCGACCTGTCAACGTTTGATAACAGGATAACCACTGCCCGCTGGGGGGGGCGTTGATTGTTTATATTTTAGATTATTTTGATTTATTAATTTTAATTTAATTGTATTTAAACATTCCTTCAAAATAAAATACAGTTACACAAAAAATAAAGATAAAATGATTGAACATTTTAACTTACTAGAACGTTAAATCAATGAGAACCTTAAACTTGTTTCTTTGCAATGAGACGATTCCATCTGGGGATAATCGGAGACAATGATACATCACGAACATTAACAAATTTATGTCACTACCTTCGGGGGCCCCCTTTTTCCTTAAATAAATAAAATTTTAATGGAACACTGGTATTTTTAATTGAGGTATAAATTTAGGAATTTAAATTCAGTTTCAATGAAATAGGCGGTCCGGTACCATTTGATCAACGGACCGGTCCGCTGATCGGGGGTTGGGGAACACTGCAATTAAATGATCGTTTATTTCTTTTTCACTATCACTATTAAATTTTTCTAAAACCCGATGGAACCATGCGAGTAAGTTATTATTTACTAAATAAATTCACTTTTTCATGAAGAGTATATTGCCAAAATGTTTTTACAAAATATTCCGAAAATATATTACTTTATAACTATATAATAAAAAAACTTGTTTATACAGATACATAAAGAAGCTGAAATTATAATTTTTTTTTTCAGTATGGATTACAGATAGATGATCTTTTTCAAGATTTGGGAGACGGCTTGAGGTTAATGAAATTGCTAGAATCTCTGACAGGAGAAAAGCTCGGCAAACCTGCAAAAGGTCCAGCAAGAATCAACAAAATTGAAAATGTCAGCAGATGTTTAGCATTCTTACATAGCAAAAAAGTAAAAATAATAATTTCTTTACTTTCAAAATTTATCTACATTACCCTATCAGAATTGATAACCGACGTAGCATGAAACCTGATTACTTATTCTCACACCTCAACGATTAACAAGCCATCCGGAACTTAAAGTAGAGATGCATTTATATATATATATAT